TTTGCCTCCAAAAACAAAGTTCTTTGTCTCCACAGACTCCCCAACACCCCCCTCTTTTTCCCCACAAATTTTATATTTTACCTCATCTTTTTATAACCCTCTCTGACAACGCCCCCTCCCAAATATCTGAAAACGTTCACCTCCTCCATACTCTCTCCCCCCAATCGATATTCAATTTTCATCACCTAATCTTTTTGTTTATCCCATAACCTTACTCTTTCCCGTATTCACCTTTTAATTTTCTTCTTTTGCACACCCCAAACCCAAAAACATCCACCAACCTGCAACTTCTCTTCAAATCCTTTTCCCAAGAGCACAGTGTCATCAAAAGGGCACTGTACAACCCCACTTGTGTGTGATTCTTTATTTTTTAACTCCACGCCTCTTGCCAAGACCCCGCATTTATTCTCTTACAACCCCATCTATAAATATTTTAAAAAACCCACGGTACATCACACCCTTCTAAGGCCTATTTTTACGGGAAAAATTTTTCCCCTTTTTCCCTAATACTCAAAACTTGAGCCCACTATCCTCGAAAAACTTTCACTGCTTTCGAACCTACCTCCTACACCAACACTTGAAACACTGCCACATTGCCCCCTATCCCCCCCTGTCATACCCCTTTTTCCAAATCCAAAAATGCCACAAAGACCCTTTACCCTTTATCTAAATACTGTTCACTTATATGTTCCTGAAAACACCGGGGTCCACACACCCCCCCCTTTTCCCTAAAGCCCCTTGTTAAACTGCTATCCTTTTCCCGTCTTACCTTAATTCTTTTCAATTAAACTCTACATACATTTTCCCAGGACACCAACAGATTTACCCCCTTAATTTTTGCACCCCTTTTTTATCCCTTTTTTTTTTTCCCTTTTATACAAAGGAACTATGCATTCTTCTGCCAACCCTAGGACCTTCCCTTTCTTCCATACATTTTTAAATAATTGCACCAACCACTCCAAAACTAATCCCCACCTGTTTTTTAACATTTTCTATTTTTACCCATAAATCCCGTGCCTTACCCCCTTTCATTTACCTACCCTCACGAACTTCCCCCACACCACAACTGGCTCTTTCTCACTCCTAAAAATGTTATCCCCCTTCCCTAAACACGAATAAACCACTTCCCATTTTCATCAACATTTAACAATTCCTCAAAAATTCCTTCCATTTTCCCCAATACCTCAACTCTCCATTTAATAACCTCCTCTCCTATTTTTAACTGAAAATCCATTTGTTTCTGGCTTTCTTAATTTTGTTAACTCCCCCAAAAACTTTTCTTATTTTCAACAAATTTGTTATAACACTCACCCACTCTCTCATTTGCTCTCTTTTTACATGCTTCACCACTCTCTTAACTTCTCTTTTTTCCCATATATCTTCCCCCCTTGCATCACTTCTACTTTGAAAAAATTTCTCATATGCTAATTTTTTCTCCTTACTCTCTTTTTACATCATCTTCCCCCAATCGCTCCTCTTCCCTCCGACCCATTTTCCCTTTAAAACCAAAAATTCTGCTGAAAAACTAACACTACATTTTTAAACCTCCCCCAAAACCCTCTTCGCCCCCATTGCCTATCCTCATTAGCCCATCTATCCTCCAATAGCTGTTTAAATCTTACCCAACTGCCCCCTTTTAGTTTATAAACCTTCACCCTCTTTTCCCTGATGCTTCTATTCTCCTTGTACCCCACTCCCTTTTTACTCTCATGTAGCTACAACTAAAAAGTGATCTGATAATCTGGGCCCCTCATAAACTTACATCCTAAGTCTACTCAACTCTTTATCTCCAATACATAATCCAACAACACGTCTTTTTCGCCCTACACATATCGTGTATATTTATTTACCCTCTTTTTCTTAAAAATATGTATTACCTATAACTAAACCCCTTTCTATACAAATTCAATAAAAAGGGCCCCATTATCATTTCACCGGCACCCCAAACTTACCTACCACACCCCCTAAAAGTTTTTTCCACTTTAGCATTCAAGTCCCCACCCAAATTTTCTCTCACTTGGTTCAAAGGGTCCCAACATTCACTTTAAAATCTCCCCAAAATCTCTCCCTCCTCTGCATTCCCTCTTCTCCAGGGGCAACACCTTATTATGACCCACTTCTCGCATCCAACCCTTTTCTTTAATCCACAAATTTTTGAATTTACACATTCATATTTTCCTTTTCTCCTTCCTAACTGACATTTAAAATTTTCTGCTACCCCCTTTCCCTTTCTCAACTCTCTCAATACCCAATTTAATCCCCTTTATTTCCCCCCCCGAAACCCCTACCCCCTTCAGCTTTTTTTGCTTAGGGGCCCGGACCCAACTTCTTTCATTCATAACTCACAATCATCGTTTTCCCTTGTCATCCCACACATCCCCCCCACATTTTAAACAAACCCCGTTTTATAAAGTTTTTTTTCTTCTCTTTTTTTAATAATTGATACAGAGAAGGGGTTTCAGCCCCTTTCTCCCCATAGGGGGTAATCTGTTGAGTAACCTGGAAAGGTAGGAAGTTATTTTGAAAGAATTTAAAAGTAAGACGGGGAAAAAGGAAGCAGATGAACAAGAGGCTTTAGGAAAGGTAGGGGGGGGTGGACCAGGTGTTTTACAGTGAAACATATAATGAAAAGATTTAATAAGGCTAAAGAGTCTTTTTGCATTTTTTGGGTTTGGAAAAAGGGTATGCAGGGGGGAAGGGGGGCAATGTGGGAGATGTTGCAGGTGATGGTGTAGGGGGTAGGTTACTGAAAGCAGGAAAAGTTTTTTCGAGGATAGTGACTCAAGTTGAGTAGAGGAAAAAGGGAAATTTTTTTCCAGTAAAAGTAGGGCCCTTAGACAAGGGTGTGTGATGTCACCGGGTTGTTTAATATATTTATGATGGGGTTTTAAGAGAATAAATCAGGGTCTTGCAAGAGGGTGGGGTTAAAAAAAAAGAAAAACACATAAAGTGGGAGTTGTCACAGGCTCTTTGCGAAGACACGTGCTCTTGGAGATTCTGAAGGAAGTTGCGAGATTGGGGATGAATTGGGGAGGGGGGTGCAAAAGAAGAAAATTAAATTAAAAAAGGAAAAATAAGGGTTTTGAGGATAACAAAAAGATAGGTATGAAAAATTGGATATCAATTGGGGGGGAAGAGTAAAAGGGGGGGTGAATTATTTAGAATTTGGGGGACTGTCAGCGGATTGGCTATAAAAGAGGGAATCATAGAATTTAGTGGGGGGAAAAAAGGGGAGGGTGCACTTTGGAGTCTGTGGGACAAAACTTTGTCCTTGGACAAAGGGGAATGATGAGAGAAGTTTTTCCAACCCCTTATATGGGGGGTGAAGCAGGGGGTGAATTTGCAGCGAGGGGAAGGTGAGGCAGTGGAGATGTCATGTCTGAAGCAATGTTGGGGAAAGTAAAGCAGAGAATTTTTTTGGAAGTTAGGAGGAGGTGCGGATAAACCCAAAAAGTTGTCCAAGGGCTGGAAGGGGTTTGTTGAGGTGGTTCGGACATATGGAGAGAATGGAGCGAAACAGAATAACTTCAAGAGTGTATCAGCCCTGTAGTGGAAGGAAGGCGGGTAGGGGGTCGGCCTGGGAAAAGGTTGAGGGAGGGGGAAAAGGGAAAGGTTTTGTGTGCGAGGGCTTGGATTTCCCAGCAGGCATGCGTGAGCGTTTGATGGGAGTGAATGGAGACAAATGGTTTTTAATACTTGACGTGCTGTTGGAGTGTGGGGCAGGGTAACATTTAGAAGGGGTTCAGGGAAACCGGCAGGCCGGACTTGAGTCCTGGAGATGGGAAGTACAGTGCCTCACTCTGAAGGAGGGTGTTAATGTTGCAGTTTAAAAACTGTAGTGTAAAGCACCCTTCTGGCAAGACAGTGAGGGAGTGAATGATGGAAAGTCTTTCTTTTCGGCCACCCGCCTTGGTGGGAATCGCCAGTGTGATAATAAAAATAAAAAAAAAGAAAAATTGATATAAAATTGGGGAGGAGGAGAAAGGAAGAAGTGAATGTTTTCAGATACTGGGATTTGACGTGTCGGGGGATGGATATTATGAAGGATGAGGTTAATCATAGAATTGATGAGGAAAAAAGGTGAGTGGTGCGTTGAGGTATATGGGGGGTCAAAAAACGTTATCTAGGAGGCAAAGAAGGGAATGTATGAAAGTATAGTAGTACCAACACTCTTATATGGGTGTGAAGCTTTGGGTGGTAAATGCACAGCGTGGAGACGATTGGGGGCAATGGAGATGCCTGTTTTAAGGGCAATGTGTGGTGTAAATATTATGCAGAAAATTCGGAGTGTGGAAATTGGGAAAAAGGGTGTGATTAATAAAAGTATTAGAGGGCAAAGAGGGTTGTTGAGGGGGTTTGGTCATTTAGAGAGAATGGATCAAAGTAAAAATGACATGGAAAGCATAAAAAATCTATAGGGGAAGGGAAGGCGGGTAGGGTCGTCCTCGAAAGAGTTGGAGAGAGGGGTAAAGGAGGTTTTTTGGGCAAGGGGCTTTGGGCTTCCAGCAAGCGTGCGTGAGCGTGTTTTGATAGGAGTGAATGGGGACGAATGGTACTTGGGACCTGACGATCTGTTGGAGTGTGAGCAGGGAATTTAGTGAAGGGGTTCAGGGAAACTGGTTATTTTCATATAGTCGGACTTGAGTCCTGGAAATGGGAAGTACAATGCCTGCACTTTAAAGGAGGGGTTTGGGATATTGGCAGTTTGGAGGGATATGTTGTGTATCTTTATACGTATATGCTTCTAAACTGTTGTATTCTGAGCACCTCTGCAAAAGCAGTGATAATGTGTGAGTGTGGTGAAAGTGTTGAATGATGATGAAAGTATTTTCTTTTTGGGGATTTTCTTTCTTTTTTTGGTCACCCTGCCTCGGTGGGAGACGACCGACTTGTTGAAAAAAAAAAAAATTAATAGGTTTCCTTGTAAATGTTTTAGCTATTTTGAGAACATATCTAATGATTTCTTTTATGCTCTTTTCCTATTACTTGACTTTCTGCAGGTATTCCATGAGAGCATGAGGTCTCGATTAAATGATCGTCTCCTGTACATCATCTGCTCCCAGAACTGGGACCACATGGGACCACATTACTGGATCAAGCAGTGTATTCAGCTACTTCTAGTAACTGCACAAGCTGGTATTAAACACATTTTTTTTTTTTTTTTGTTATTAAATGAATGTGGTATTATAGCCTAAGGATAATACTCTAAGAATAAAGGCTTAATTGGAGAGAGACATTAATCTGCTTTCTTTTATTTAAGTGGTCTTCAACTCCAGGGAGGTTATTACAGTTGCTCTTTCAAAACTAATTAGGTAACAGGTGACCCTTGCTTTATTCTGTAGACATGTTCCAGACCCTTGGCATCAGTACTAGGCTTAGTCAGGCCATAAACAGTTACGCATATTAAAATCATTGTGTTTTGCATACCACTAATTGCATGGATGGAATTATAGAAATAGGACATTTCGTAAAGCAAGAAGAAAAACCTACATTTTAATTTGGTGTTTGCTGTTTGATCAACTAAATGGAGTAAAAACTCCATTTAGCAGAGGCATTTGTCTTTGAAAAGACACGAAAAGTAATAAATTTCTCAATATTAAAAGTATGTTAAAGATATGAATACTCTCTTCAGTGATGCCTGTCCTATACTACTGTGTACCTTCATTAACCTACACCAGCATCAAACTAATGTATCAGTCTATATATACAGCCTCTCCTCACTTAACGATAGAGTTTCATTCCTAAGACTACGTCGTTAAACAAATTTGTCACTAAGTGAGGAGCATACTATAATGGTAGTGGGCTTGTGTCAACCATCTTTGATATTGTTTTAATGTCACCTTTGCACCATTTATAATGTATTTAGCGGTTACAAGCACTAAAAAGAATGGAATAATACAAAATGTATCGTACGAATGCATGGGATCGTCCTCACTGACTTGTAAACAATGGCACACTGGCTGTACATGGAGTGTCGGGGCCGCTCAAGCCACGTGGACACGTTCCGGACGAATGACTTATATTGAGTTCAGTGACGTTCACCGAGCCAATATTTTGACGAAAAAACATTACTTATTCTGAATATAATATATTCCGCTGACGACTTAATCCGGGGATATAAAACAAGAAAATAAGTGTATATATAGGTAACTATTAAGAAGAGGAGAAGAATGTTGGCCTCAGGGAAGAGAATAGTTTTATCGAGATTAAAAACATTTCAGAGAACAGCCAAGATTTGAGCTAGTAGCAAATCAATAGACTACTCAAACTGGTGGTTAGAATGCTAGCCTAGTTTCAAGACTGATTTGTCATGGGTTTGATTCCTCTCTGTTCCCTGAGAAGAGAGAAAATCTTCAGAGTAAGGAAAAGATTTAATAATGTAAATTGAGTAACACTTTACTCACTGTTTTTCAGGTACCCCAGTACAGAATAGTTCACAACATGTATTGCTTCCTGGAGTCACAGCTGTAATAAGCTGGGCTGATGCTGCAGAAAGAGCCAACTTCTCTGTCTTTGCAAGTATTAAGGAAGAAGCAAATGACCTTGACACAGCTCTTGAATCAACTGTGGATAAGGAGGTAAAAAGCACAGTCACCCTACTCTTAATGAATGGCGATTGTTGCAAATGTGTGCATTGTTCATTCTGAAACATTATTCATATAAACCAGAAACAGCACTTGTCCTAATACCGATCCTCGTCCCAATCCACTACATTCAGGAAGTCTCTTAATCCCTCAGAAGTTTCCCTTCTAAAGTCTGGCTTTTCACAATCTTCACCTACTGTATTTCCCTCTTCCTTTAATTCCACTAGGTACTTGAAGTCCAGGACTACATGATCACTAGCTGATCGCTATTATGTTTCAACTATGTCAGATGAACCTATGGCAAACACTAGGCCCAGTCCTGCTGACTTGTCATCTCCCTCCTTTGTCATGTGCTTAATGTGCTGACTCAGAAAGTTTTCTCTAATCACCTCCATCAAGTTTTCAGTCCTCCATGTAGGTCCCAGTTATGCCAGTCTTTATTTCTTTGTGGTTGAAGTCACCCATGATAAATAGCTCTTTTTAGCTCTTTGTGAACTCTTAGCTGCTTCTGCTATGTCAATCATTACTTTGTTATTGTTTTCATTTTCCTGTGATGGTCTCCTATTGTTAGGTGGTGGGTTGTATATCACTGCAACTACTACTATCCATCCCCCAGCCTTAACTGAGCCCTCTGTGAAGTCATTTGCTTCTTGCATATTCATTCTTCTCACCTCTTCAAAATTCAATTGATTTTTATTAACACAGCCATTCCTTTGTTTTTCTGATGACTTAATATCCTGTGGAAATATGGTGTCGGATATTTCTGTCAGCTTTGTCTGTGATTTCTGCAGTGTCTGTGGTTACTTTGGCTATATGTCCTTTCAACATCTGCATTTGTGTACCACACTGAACTTGCTTTCCCACCTTGTGTTGTTTACTTTTTTTGCATGTTGCTTATCTGATGAGTGAGGAAGGTAAAGCTGGAATTCATGTGTGCACTATTACCAGGGAAGGAGTCAGGGATGAGGTTATAGCCAGAAAAGGAAAGGGGAAGGGCTTGGTTAGAAGGGGGAAAGGGGGGAGGGAAGTGTTAGTGTTGGTGCTGGGAAAATGGGGAAGTGTGTGGGATCTGTTATTTACCAGTGAGAGCAGCTGACTTTCACATGCTACAGCTGTGATAAATAACAGAAATGTTATCTATTGTTGTTTGTGAAATGATCTGCAGGGATTTTGTGTACACGGGATGAAAAAGTATAAACCATGCCATTGACCCCTGGGCCGTGGGGGTCAATGCCCCCATGGCCCAGTCCATGACCAGGCCATATTGATAGTATCAAGAAACTGGCGTTGTTAAACCTACTGTCATTGGAAACGTATTTTCACTCAAGAAAATTGAGTTATAAATTAGCATTGAAAACCACAAGAACTAATGTGATAGCCACAATGAAACCAATGTTATCAGTGTATTAATGATCAAAATCAACAAGACAACTAGACAGGGAAAAACTGTTAGCTGGATTTAAGTCTTGAATTTTTTTTTTATCAGTGCCAGCACTCTGAAGGAGGGGTAGGAATAGTGCAGTTGGAGGGTAATCTGCTTGTGATGTCAGCAACCTTTTAGAAATGTGACAATGAATGATTGTTGGTGAATTTTTCTTTTTTGGACATTCCCAGCCAAGGCAGGGTGACTCAAAGAAGAAAACACCATCATCATTCATTCAGTCACTGTTTTTCCTGGGGTGTGCTGACACTGCATTCAGATTACCCTCCAGCTATAACATCCCAACCCTTCCTTCAGAGTGCAGCTACTGCCCTTCTCAACTCCAGGATTCAAGTTTGGAAAGCTGGTTTCTTCTGAATCCCTTTATAAAGGTTGCCTTGCTCACACTTCAATAGCATTACCCTTAACCCTTTGACTGTTTCAGGCCCCTCTCTGAAACTGTCATTCTATGTCGCCAAATATTCAAAAAAAAAAAAAAATTATTTTTTCTTATGAAAATGTTAAGATTATTTTTCTGAGTGTTTTAGTCCAAAAAAAAAAATTTTTGCCATTGGTACTTACCGAGATATAGAGCCGTGAAGTTTGCAGAAAATGAGCCGCATATGGCAACAGCGGCGACTGCCGCTCACCCGGTAAACTTTAGTTTACTTGTAATTGAAGGTTTTTTGTTTTTTTTCACTATTTTATTTTTTCACATAACTTATGTGGCCTATGAGACCAAAGTAAGGTGCAATGTATATATATACACTCGTTGTATACAACACAATAAGCACACAAACATAATTATCAATATATTGTTTACAAAAACAAACAAACAATCCTCCTCCTCCTCCTCCTCCTCCTTCTCCTCCTTCTCCTCCTCCTTCTCCTTCTCCTCCTCCTCCTTCTCCTCCTCCTCCTTCTCCTCCTCCTCCTTCTCCTCCTCCTCCTCCTCCTTCTCCTCCTCCTCCTCCTCCTCCTTCTCCTCCTCCTCCTTCTCCTCCTCCTCCTCCTCCTCCTTCTCCTCCTCCTCCTCTCACTCTTCCCTCCTCCTTCCTCCATCTCCTCCTCCTCCTCCTCCTCCTCCTCCTCCTCCTCCTCCTCCTCTCCTTCTCCTCTCCTTCTCCTCTTCCTCCTTCTCCTTCTCCTCCTTCTCCTCCTCCTTCTCCTCCTCCTTCTCCTCCTCCTCCTTGTCTTGTGTGCGAGTGTGTGGCTTATTAATTGTTTTGAGTCAGAAGTCGGCAGCTGTCAAAGTGACATATTGTCTCATTAGTCACCTCCCCCTACCGCCTGTCAAAACAATGGGGTCAGATGCTGCTTCCCCTCCTCCATTCTATCTAATTATCTTTCTCCCTCATTCTATACTTTCATCTGTCTCTTTTTTCTATCTGTCTGCCTATCTCTGTCTCACAGGTACACATAAATACAAGTATACATAGTGTAAATTACCTAGATAACCCAAGAAATCCAGACAAAGTGCTATACTCTGCTTGAAGATGTGAGTAAACGATGATGACACAGTCTTGTGGCTCTCTCTGAGACAGAGAGCTAGATGGACAGACAGGGAGCTTGACAGACAGACAAATAGACAGACAGAAATGTTTGTGTACCAGCAAAAACAAAGGAGGCGATGGTCATGTAATATTACCCTCCTTTAGCTCATCAAAGTCAGCTCTTATCAGATGTTATCTCCCCTTATCTTGTCACTGTCGTGGGGTGGACTTTTTTTTTCTTGCTTCAAGGGAACAATATTATTACATCTTCTTCCTCCTCCTCCTCCTCCTCCTCCTCCTCCTCCTCCTCCTCTTCTCCTCCTCCTCCTCCTCCTCCTCCTCCTCCTCCTCTTCCTCCTCCCTCCTCCTCCTCCTCCTCCTCCTCCTCCTCCTCCTCCTCCTCCTCCTTCTCTTCCCCCTCCTCCCCCTCCTCCTCCTCCATTGCTTTTGGTCTCAAACTCCTCCAAATCATGAAATTGATCTTCACTGACACTTCCATCTGTGTTAGAGCATCACTTGGGAAGAGAAGAGTCCCAGATTTGCTGGGGAATCACATATTTCTTACCGCTAGACATGCTGAAAAAGGACAACTGAAATGGCATTCCCACAATGCACCACTGGCTCCCCGATTTTTTTTATATGGTGCACACTGACCATGGAGACCCATTCTCTCACATGTGGGCCTACCAGCTTTCTCCTGCTTGATTTGAAGCTGCTAGAATTTATGCGTATAAATACGTCAGAAACATTGGCTCGTAAGACATATTTATACGTCGGAAACAGTCAAAGGGTTAAAAACCAACTGTCTCTGTTCACTTGTGTCTAATATATATATATATTCATTGTACCTTGTAAATTTGCAGCTTTGTATGACATAATTTTCTTAGGTTCCACAAAGGTTGTGCCTCAGTTTTGAAGCATTGTGGATAATTATTAAAAAATTTTTATTACGTGTGATTAGCATTATCCTTGTAGTATTTATATTATATTACTCAAGAAATTTACCTACACTAAATGAGGCATATCTTTGCACAGAAATTGTAGATTAAATAATTAATGTGTAATAAAATGTTTCCTGGAAATGTCTCATGACATTATTCTTGCTATAAAATTTTTTGGTCCATACAAACATTATATTTTGTTTTACAGGATGAGATTGACATTGAGCTCTCATCGGTACCAGCAGATAGCTCCCAGTCCATTGATGGTGGTGTCAAACTCCAAGCAAATCCTAAGGCAAACTTGCATCTACTACTCTCCAGACAGGTTAGCTAAGTTTGTCCTTGGAGTTTGCTATAGTGAAACAGGTGTAGTTAACTATTAGATTGATTGACATGAATTTCCTCTATTATATTTAAACCATGGTATGGATGGGCTCAAACTCCCTTTGGGAAGTGAGTTTTACAACTCACTTGCCGTGAGTTCGAGCCCCACCTGTACCGTGGTTTGTCTGCAGCCGTGTTATTACGATTTCATGAGTCATGATGTTGACTTACATTTGTTTGTCATTGTTTAGCTCATTTGGAAATGCATTTTTAATTCATGTGTCCTCCTTCTGGATCCTCCTCTTGTAAATAATCTGTCCTTATCTACTTTGGCTGTGACTGTTAGTATTTTGTGTGTTATGAGCATATCCCTTCTACATTGCTCCAGGGTCATGGGCTCTAGTATAATTGATTATGTTGTTTTTGCACATGATAACTTAATAGCTTGAAAACATCGATTTTAAACATTGACATGGCACAGGGTTTGACAAGGTTAAGGATCCCTGGCTTTATTGACAAGCTATTTACAGGTTAAGGATTCCTAACTTTATTGACAAGCTAAGAGCTGTTACCTACTTCAGCTCATTTGAAAGCATTTTTATTGTTACGAGACAACAAGTAGGGAACAGGATGAAGTTGGAGCCATCTGTGGGCCAGCATTTTCATTTGATCAGCTGACTTTATCTCATTGACATCGTTATGCTGTACTAATGTGTTCCATACTCGAGTCATCCTGGGTATATATAATCTCAGATGGAATGATGTTCTGGAGAAGGGTACAGCCAGAGTGAAGTTGCTGCTTTCTGCCGTCTTGTGGCATAAAAGCTTGTTTCACGCTGTCCTCGAAGTGGATCCAAGTGTGGTACTTTGACAATATTGGCCTTGTACATAACAGTAAGGCCACCCACATTCCTCCTGTGTTGAAGGCTCTGCTGAAATGACAGATCTATCCAGGATTGGTCCAGGCGAGAGATGAGACGTCTTGCTCTGTTCTCTACTCTGTCAAGCAGTCGCAGATGAGAGGGGGGGGGGAACCAAGAAAGTGGAGCATACTCAAGGTGTGAGCATACTTGTGCCTCATACAGAATCTTGAAACCCCTACTGTCAAGCAGATGTGAGATATGGCGAAGTGCTGTAAACTTCCTGGCTACCTTGTTTGCAAGATTTACAACATGGTTCTTCATGGTCTTTTTGAAGTCAAATTTCACCCCAAGGATATCAACTTCTTCCCCAGGTGCCAACACCCTCCCATTCATCCTTACTACTGTGCCAGCATTACCATCATGGTGCCTAGAGACCATCATCATTTGCATTTTCTCAGGTGCAAATGTTACTTGCCATCTATTTCCCCAAGCTGATATAGCTCTTAGCTGGTGAGTGATGTAGCTTAGAGCAGCTGGCATTTCTTTTCTTGGATAAGTGAATGTCAGAGTACAGTCGTCTACATATGCATGGGATTTCTGGGATAAGATGGAGGTCATTGAAGTAGACATTCCATAACAATGGTCCCAGCACACTCCTTGTGGAACACTTGCCCCAATAGGATGTCTTGCTGATTCCGTTCCATTAGAACTCCCCTTAGAGATCTACCATGAAGGGTAATCACTGAGGAACATAGCATAGAGCCTAAATTTCCCAGTGTTTGAAGTTTTGCTAAGAGACCTTGGTGCCACACCCAGTCAAAAGCACCAGCAATGTCCAGTGCTACCACACAGCTGACTTTGGATTCATCCAGTGACTGGTGCCATTTAGTGGAGAGATTTAACAACAGTCAGCAGCAGAGTAACCTTTCCTGAAGCCATATTGGCGGTCACAAAGTAGTGAGTGGTAGTCAAAAAGCTCTGTCATTTGTCTTGAGATTATTGTCTCAAGGATCTTACCAATGATTGACGGGAATGACATTGGTCTGTATTTGCTGATTTCTGCTCTGCTCTTCTTTTTGTGAACAGGGACTACATTTGCCTTTTTCCACAAAAGAGGGCCATTTACACGGTACTAGGCAGTGAAACATGCGAGTTAGAGGTGGCTGCTAGCTGATCTGACATCTTCTCAGCAATCTTGGGCTCAACTTGTCTGGGCCCCACAGCCTTTTCTTGGTCAAGCGATTTAAGAAGGAAATGCACCTCCCTCCTGCCTTTTTGTCCCCCACTGACAGTTTTTTGACACAGTTCTTGCAGCTAGCCAAAGAGGGCCCCTTGCTGGATCAGGAACTTGCATTTTGGTAGCAAAGTGTTCGGCAAAGAGGTCGGGCTTTCTCTTGACTACTAGTAGAGGTGGTCCCATCCTGTCGATTTAGAGGTGGAATGAGTTCATCAGGCAGATAACCCTTTGTCTGTCCTTGACCAGGGACCACCGGGTTTTTGGAGCCTACCTACCTGTTGCTAGCTTTCTTTTGGTGTCCACCTCCCATTTAGCAATGGCCCATTTTTGAATGTCACCCATATGCCTACAGGCTTACCTGTGCAAGTTCCTATTATGGGTGGTAGGATGTCTCTTATACCTTCGCCATGCTTTGTACTTAGCAGAGCAGCCTCTCTACAATGAAAGCCAAACCAAGGCTGATCTTTTAGGCTTCGTTTCATATTGCCGGTGAGGAATGTGTTCTTGTTGTAGATTAAGGATGTGTCCATGAAGGCTTTCACTTGGGTTGTCAACATCCCCTTGGGGAAGAGCATTCCAATCGGTGGTGGCGAGCTCAGAGCAAAAGGGCTGGCCAATTACCCCTTTTCCCCTAGCCAGGTTGTGCGTGTGGACTCCTCACCTCGTTCTGTTGGGATCTTAAGTGTTGAAAAAACAGCCTTGTGGTCAGACATCCAACATAGCCGAGGGGTTGACAAGTGACTGTACCTTCTGCCAGATCACTCACTACTGGTTTAAGGGAGAAGCCAGAGATATGAGTAGGGAAATCAACAAAGTTTCTCATGTCAAATACTGCAAGAAGGTCATCAAAGTCCCCCCTGTATAAGGTGTTGGTTGAGGTCACCAACAATTATGATATGTTGACAGTTGTGTTGTAGCAGAAGGGATTCCATATTTTCCATTAAAAATTGATGGGGTCTGCATGTTGCCACTGAGGTCTGTACAATGCACATGCCCAGTAACAGAGGTACGACTAGTGTTTATGCAGAGCTTGAAGAAGAACATTTCAAGATGAGTAGGGGTGGCAACATCAATGTGCTGGGCATGTAAATTTTAGAGAAGCACCAGTAACACTCCTCCTTGCCCTTGCCTGTCTCTTCTCATCCATGAGGGGTAGCCAGCAATTCTTACAAAATTTTCTGGAGTCCTGTCTTCCAAAAATGTTTCAATAACAGCTATCCCTGTTGGGACGTCAAGTGTTCACAAAACTACGTGTGAGCTCTCCAACATTAGTAATGAAGCCTCTAATGTTGGCTGACAGGATGCTGATAGACTGGCTCCTCATGATGTAGTCAGCTTAAGGTGGTGGGTGTGTAAGGCATGTAAGGTGCCTGTCTTCGAGAGAAGTAGGACACTGAGGCAGCTGCAGGGATGTAGGTTTGTGGTCTTGTATAAGGCACAATACCACCTGCTGGGCTGAGATAGGAATAGCTGAGTGGGTGATGTAGAGTGTGTTCCCCCAATTCAAAGATCTTGCTGGTTTGTTTCCGAGAACAGGGCTCTAAACAGGTCCTGTCTATCAAGTTCCTTTTTCTTCCTACACTGGTCCTCCTGATGTCCTTTCTTGTGGCAGTAATTGCACCTGGTATCTCGCAGGCAGTTGTTGGTGTGCCCCTTCCGGTGATAGCGAGAGCACTGTCTAGGTGCCTGGGAGGGTGGACTATTATATGTTGCACACCTTGTGTTTTGCTGATTTGTCCGCAGGTTCTGCCTCAGGGACTGTATCGGTGGAAGGTGAGACGACTGTAGGCAGTGAAGGGACTTGAGCTAGAGTTCGTCACGGCCACGCTAGCTGGAGATTCGTCTGTAAAAACTTGCATTTGTGATCACAGAGGTGCCTGTGCTAACTTTCCTATGGTGTAGAAATATACCTAGTTGGATGAATCTTATTGTGGCTAGCTGGTCTAGTGGCTAACGCGATGGGCTGGAGTTTTGAGACTCTATGACCACGGGTTCAATCCCGGCCGGGGGTATGGTTTATTTGCAATCGTGTCATTACGATTTCTTGAGTCAAACATGGACTCGCTTTTCATAGGTTGACTCGTGAGTCGTAGTTCGTCCGGGACGCGTACCCACGGCGTGAGCCAGGGCGGCAGCCAGTCTGGCATTGTTTACCAGCAAGCGAAGGTCCCCTCACATGCTCCAGCGAAATATTTCTTTAATATTCCATTTATTTTAGTGCTTGCAAGTACAGTGGAACCCCGCATAGCGATTTTAATCCGTGCAAGAGGGCTCATTGTTATGCGAAATGATCGGTATGCGAATGAATTTTCCCCATAAGAAATAATGGAAATCAAATTAATCCGTGCAAGACACCCAAAAGTATGAAAAAAAAAAATTTTACCTCATGAAATGTTAATTTTAATACACACAAACTGAAAAAGGCATGCACAATTACATGACACTTACTTTTATTGAAGATCTGGTGATGATTGATGGGATGGGAGGAGGGGAGAGAGAGTGTTAGTGTTTAGAAGGGGAATCCCCTTCCATTAAGACTTGAGGTGTCGAGTCCTTTTCTGGGGTTACTTCCCTTCTTTTTTTAATGCCACTAGGACCAGCTGTCCATAGTGGCCTGTACCTCTCGTTCCTATATGACTTCCCTAAAGTGTTTCACAACATTGTCAGTGTAATAGTCACCAGCACGGCTTGCAATAGCTGTGTGAGGGTGATTTTCATCCATGAAGGTTTGCACTTCAAGCCACTTTGCACAGGTTTCCTTAATCTTTGTAGTAGGCAATTTCTTCAATTTCTCTCTCCCCTCCTTCGAACCAGTTTCCTCAGGTCTGGCCTCTTGCTGTTGAAGTTGATCTATAAAGCTCATCAGTGGTTAGTTCTTCATTGTCCTCCTCCACCAACTCT